GCGACTAACGGGATCGGGTGGTCAGGCTTGCTGACTTGGTTGAACCATGTCATCGGTTCCCAATTGCGTAGATCGATGCTCATGCTGTTGATAACTGGATTGTCTGGTCCAGACCGCCGCCACATAGCTGAAATATTGCGGCGTAAAACTAAACTCACACTCACTCACTTTCGACATTTCACTCTTGTAGTTCTAGAACCACCCGAATCGAGATTCGTGTAATTCAGAGGCCGTTCGATCAATCATCTGTTATTCTGAATGGTAAAATAACAGCAACTGTCACTTTGGTACATTTTGGATAAAAGATGTTTATATAAGCAGGAAATTTAAATATAGGAGGAAAGAATCTTTTGATTTGTCATGTTTTGGCACATTCACTGACCAACAGATTGGCCGTCTTCTTGTTAACAGGGAGGAGAGGGTTTTGCATGCCTGTTGCCTCATAGAATTATTATGGTTACATTTGTAATATTGTCAGGGGTATTTCGCAATTCAGCCTCTATATTGACAATTGGCATTCTCCTGAAACAGACAACCACTGTTTACACTGTATAGTGTCTTTGTATCCAAAACTGGCTTCCAAACGAGATATCGCTTTGGACCAATGTGACGTCATCGCCACGATGACGTCACAATCAAATGACGTAACTGATACATATGTAACTAATACATTTGGTTTTACCAAAATTGAAAACAGTTCATGTTGTAAGTTATATATAGAATATAAGAGTATTCTTGAGCCAGATGGGTATCTGTCTTCCAATTTGGAATATAAATTACGTAAAGTATTGGTCAAATCCAGTCTTACGTTTATAGGATAACGTAGGAAGGTGGTAAAACATTGATACATCTCAAAGAAATTGTCCTGTATGTAAAGTAGATTTAGAACATGAATATCACTTGAAATTGTTGAAATGTCCAGCTTAAAAAAAACCTTCGGGGTAGATTATTGCCAAACTTAAACAAAACAAAACTGAAGACATTAACAATCTATTTTTATATATTATGCATACTAAATGAGAGAAAAGTTAGAAAAATAGGTATTAAAATTCCAGTACAGCTATACATATATATATTCTGAGAAATTGTTTCCTCTTTTCGTTCACGCCTTCGTACCTGTTGGAAATATAAATATTTATTTTATTATTAATCTGTATATATGGGCCTGTGGACTTCATACTTAATACAGATTTTGATGATAATTAACAGTATCTGAAGTCAATCAGTTAAATTTAATCAAAGCAAGAGTCGCGGAGCATTCAACAAATATACCATATGACGTGTCACAACGTACATGGGTGTCCACAGAATAACGTTGTAACAACGAAAGCTTGACGTGCGCAAACGTCGACGCACTGTATCGGCACTAATGGGTCTGTTGTGAGTCCCAATGGTCTAGCGTGTGGTTTCTGTCGCTCTGGTGAAGCGATCCGGCAGAATCTGTCGGTCTTGACGTTGTGAAGTTACTGAACGTCTTTGATGCTGTTAGTGGCCTGATACCGGTCCTGCATTCGGTAGATTGTCCTAACGTGAACATTAAAATGACTGGCTACCCTCCATGCAGCCTGGCCAACTTGCAATCGTCCCAAGACTTGGTTCTTCTGATCCCTCGTAAGTCGTGACATGGCTATTGTGTCAAAACAAAAATGATTTCAGGCGAGTTTGGGACTCGCATGGGTAGGGTTGTCACGATATGTACGTGCATTTTCATTTTCATGAATGAACCGTTTACCACGTCTGTCTTTTAAGGTACGTTTGGTCGATATGCTTTTTCATCAGAAAATACCCTGATGTCGGTAATACATACAATTAGGATTGAAAAACGTGTTAACAAAACGGTACAATCATAATAAAAACACCACCTTGTAAGAACAAAATTTTGCATTTGGTTTTGAAAGGTGACGTTTCTTTTGCGGTTCAGTATATATAAACGTCGCTACAGTAACTAGCTTGATCAAGGAGGCAAATAATGCCATATATGATACCAGAATATTAAATCTGCCCAAACCATTAATTAGTGCTAACACCTTTTGTCTTGACTTTAAAATCCTTAAAGACATGTCTATTCCTCTTTTCCATTGGATTCTAAAGCTCCATAACATAGAGAGATATGTTGTTTTACCACCATGTCTCAAAGATTCACCATAATCCTTAATACTTAAGGAAGGCCTTCTCTATGATCACAGAAAGTATTTGAGACAAGTGCATGTAATATCATTTGGATCCTCAAACCTTAAAGGATTTACTTGACGTTTTAAGAATCTCAGAACTTCAGGGTTCAGTTCTCTTAAAATATTTTTATTTAACATTTGATACCAGCATTCCACGTGAGTTTCCTTTCCTTGCATATCCTTTGCGCGAACACCTGGTGGCATCATTATCGGATAATGGTCCATACATATATATATGAACAAACACATGCTCATATTACAGTTGGAAACGTACAATTCCTTATTATTCTTGCAGTATCTTCTTTGAGAGGCATTTAGGAGCTTGATTAATAAGGAAGGATGACAACATATGGATGAACAAATGAACAACGTTAACTTCTTCATTACAGTGAGAGCAACGTTTCAGTGTAGGTTCTAACACTGTTATCAAGCAAGTGTTAGCTTGTTCACCGAAACGTCACTCTCACTGTAATAAAGCTGTTGATCATCCATATATAGTGTATGGTCATCTTCCTTATATTTACAGTGTATAGTCACAGGGACTTAAGACGAGACTTTCAGAGTTAACACAAAACAAAGAGGTATTTGACATGAAGAGTGAGTAAACTCTCGACAATAGAAAATTACTTGACCTGAACTAGGCAACCCCGGGAAATCTTGTTATTCACGGATTACTAGAACACGTCACAATTTAACTCTGGAAACCCAGTTGTCAAAAAACTCTCCTCACTGTGGTCAGTTTATGACATGATTTGAGATAAATTCAGCATGCTATTATCATGGATGGATGCTAAGGATGGATAAATAAGAAACTCGATAACTCAACATTTAAACTACCTCGTACAACTACCTTTCAGTGGTCAAAACTAGGATGAATAAATAAGAAACTAGGATGAATAAATAAGAAACTCGATAACTCAACATTTAAACTACCTCGTACAACTACCTTTCAGTGGTCAAAACTAGGATGAATAAATAAGAAACTAGGATGAATAAATAAGAAACTCGATAACTCAAAATTTAGACTACCTCGTACAACTACCTTTCAGTGGTCAAAACTAGGATGAATAAATAAGAAACTAGGATGAATAAATAAGAAACTCGATAACTCAACATTTAAACTACCTCGTACAACTACCTTTCAGTGGTCAAAACTAGGATGAATAAATAAGAAACTAGGATGAATAAATAAGAAACTCGATAACTCAAAATTTAAACTACCTGGTTCAACTACCTTTCAGTGGTCAAAACGAGTAGGTTTATTTGTTTGAAATTAAATGAACATGTGTCTTCAAGTATCATGTGGGGTGGTCGGTTAGCCCAGAGGTAAAAGCGTTCGCTCGTCACGCCTAAGAACCGGGTTCGATTCCCCACATGGGCACAATGTGTGAAGCCCATTTCTGGTGTCGCCCGCCGTGATATTGCTGGAATATTGCTAAAAACTACGTAAAACTAAACTCACTCATTCAAGTATCATGTCACACGATTCAACTCATTGTGACTCAATTCAGCGAAGATGTAGATTTTTAATTATTAAGTCCATGTGTGAGAATATATTCCCATGTGTTTGGGGTTTTAAATGGATGAAACTGTATTTTCATGTATCATGATACAATATTCAACTGATTTAATTTAATTCTGACGATTTATAACGCTGTCAAAATATATTACCCATGGACGAAACTGTTTGGCCCATGTGCGAGAATATATTCACTTTGCTTAAAAGTCACGTGTTTCCGGTTCTTGGTGCATGAAAGTGTGTTTATACGTATCTTGACACAAACTTCAACCTATTTTAATTTAATTCTGCTAATTTATAGCGTTATTAGAATTATGTCGCCGATGGGCGAAAACGGTTTAGTCTTTGGACTTATTTCCATTTATTCAAAGCGCATGTTCCTTAAAATTGCAAATACTTATATGAATAAATTATGACGCACAATTCAGCTTATTTAACTGCTTTCGGTTTATATATTTTATGATTAATATCTGGCCTCAGGGTGAAACATGTTGGCCAAAGTGTGGCATTTATCTTGTTCGAGGTTGTACTGACTCTATACACTATACCGAACCGGTAAAGACACTATACTTTTAGGGTTCCAGAAATAACACGTCCCCCTTCTGAAATTTTACAGATTTCTCTATTTAAATATTTCTACAATGACAAATCAAAATATCTCCTGGACACATTTTTGCATATTTTCAGGCCTTGTATAACATCGTCTACGACGGTCCAAACCAACGATACCTCATCACCGGCAACCGCCTAAACAATTTTATCGGGACCACCAAAGTAATCTACGACTACAAGAAGGTAAGGGAGACAACCGATGTGCTTTACGACTGGATTTGATTGATTGTTGTTTAACGCCGCAATCAGCAATATTCCAGCTATATGGTGGCGGTCTGTAAATAGGACCAGACAAGCCAGTGATCAACAGCATGAGCATCGATCTACGCAACCGGGATACGATGACGTGTCAGACAAGTCAGAGAGATTGTATCCATGATAAACTGCGGCATGGTACCCCAGTGGACAAGAACGATTAGTTTTATGTAACTTTCTTTCATTCATTTGTTTTTACGGGAGGTTAAACTTCCATTCTCTTAACTATACTCAGCAAAACAATTAAGGACCACCCCAATATTCATTATTTAAGTATTACTTTAATATTGAAAATTGGGATGGTCCTTAACTTTTTTGTTGAGTATATTTGCACTTTCAAGACATATAGGTGTTTCTTTGATCATAATGATGAGTAAGGACATATCTCACAGAGACTTGTTTCTTTAAAATTTCTAAATAATAATGTTTGTTTACAGAGAACTGCTTACAGTATAGACGCACAGGCACGTACTTGTACAACATTCCCCATTCACGGAAATTTCGAGGATCAGGAGAATATCTGTGTTCCACGTAAGTCATTTCAAAATATATGGACAAATGTTTGAATTTTCAATCCATAGATCATAACCTTCGATCAGACGTCAGTGTTGGCATCCCATAACCTTTGAATTTCCCAAGAGTAGACTAAAACGGTTAGGAATAGATTATGTGTCATCACACCATCAACCACTAGTTTACCTGGTTCAGTTGGCCTCTGTTCACCCAGCAGAAAATGGGTACCCGGTGGGATACGTCATGTGACTCTTAACCTTCTGGCGCCTAACAGGCTGCTTGGGTTATCCGGGGTAATAATAATAATCAGATTGTGCTATGAGCATTCACCATGTGAATGGACTTCAGCACGTTATAAATGCATTTTTTAGATTAAAATTCACAGACTTCTTTTAAATTGCAAGAAAATTGATGACCAATTTGTGACCGCTCACGAGTGCCCAGCAAGCAGCTTAGCATGAATATTCAGGCACCCCAACTTACAAAGAACTGCGTCGTCCTTGTTCCATCTTATCAATACAAGCGAAAATGGAGACAGCACAAGTGCCATTTTAACGTCCATTAGTACAACAAGACCAGGTGATCAATAAACTCTGGCAAACAATCCACCCGCTACACCATGGAGACGGTTCATAGACGACCGAACACAATGCGAACAGTTATAGAGTGACGGCAAACCTTTTTTATCTGAAATAAATATTTCAGAAATAACGAAACTTGCAAAGTGCTTATTTTACAAACTATTTATTTTGTTGGCGATAAACATCGTCACTATAATTTGATAGCCGAAAACAATTTTGAATTGTCAAAAAAACATGTTCTTGCAAACTACTATCCAGGGCATCTTGGGTATCACCTGAAATGGTGGCATCCTATCTTTGTTCTAAATTGCCTCTGTTCACCCAGCAGAAAATGGGTACCCGGAGGGATATCGATATGACATGTGACTATTCACCTTCTGGCGCGCCTCACAGGCAGCTTGGGTTATCCGGGGTAATAATACTTGTTCCATCTTATCAATACAAGCGAAAATGGAGACAGCACAAGTGCCATTTTAACGTCCATTAGTACAACAAGACCAGGTGATCAATAAACTCTGGCAAACAATCCACCCGCTACACCATGGAGACGGTTCATAGACGACCGAACACAATGCGAACAGTTATAGAGTGACGGCAAACCTTTTTTATCTGAAATAAATATTTCAGAAATAACGAAACTTGCAAAGTGCTTATTTTACAAACTATTTATTTTGTTGGCGATAAACATCGTCACTATAATTTGATAGCCGAAAACAATTTTGAATTGTCAAAAAAACATGTTCTTGCAAACTACTATCCAGGGCATCTTGGGTATCACCTGAAATGGTGGCATCCTATCTTTGTTCTAAATTGCCTCTGTTCACCCAGCAGAAAATGGGTACCCGGAGAGATATCGATATGACATGTGACTATTCACCTTCCAACGCCTCACAGGCAGCTTGGGTTATCCGGGGTAATAATGAGCAGGATATGACGTTATAATTACTCATTATCATTATCATTATTATCATCATAAATAATGATCTTTAATCTCAGGCGACGCTTTGAACACCGGCAATTTCTTCTATGGCTACAATCGGGCGTCAGTGCATACATTGTCATACGAGTACAACACCACCACCGTCGACGGAAGGCAACAGAGTGTGGTGACCACCGTCACGAAGGACGACTGCATACCAGTAGTCATCACAAGGAGCTCAACAGACAGCGCAGGTGAGTGAGGGGATGAGTGAGTTTAGTTTTACGCCGCTTTTAGCAATGTTCCAGCAATATCACAGCGGGGGACACCAGAAATGAGGTTGGTATGTGTGACTGAGTGAGTGAGTTAATATTAAGCGTCACATCGCAATATTTCAGCCAAATCGCGACGAGAAACTGTGTATATTAAAATAAATAAATTCAGAGTTTAAAAACCTGTCATCGATGGACAGTAAAAATATATTGATCCTTTTTTTAAAAAAGCTGACAGCGAAGAACAGTATTACAACTAGATTATCACAAATTAATTAAAACTAGTTTGAATTCAGTGTAAAATGATTAATCATATCCAAACAACACAATATACAATCGGGCTATAGATCGCCAGCAATTGAAGGTTGATCGCCATGCTAGGGAAGATAGGGACTTATATTACTTTTGCTACCTGCATGGACCCTAGGTAGATTTACTCGTTCATTTTTCCAGCAGTATGGGTGAGTGAGTGAGTTGAGTTGAGTGAGTGAGTAACAGTACTAATGGGTGAGATAGTGAGTGAGCGAGGATGAAAGCCCGCCTGGAACAGTGTTTCAGCAATAGAGACGATTGTCAGCATAAAACTTTAAAGAAAGTGAAATATTAACGCCAGTTTGGTCATTATTCCCTTTACATTAAGCCGCGCCATCCTCATTTAGAAAGCGTGGCAAACTGTTGGCGGCATCTCTGCTTCTATGTGAGCTCAACGAGAAAACGACAAGAGTATTGTAATGCCACTTTGAACGCTAATTGAACACCACGGCGTCTCAGCTGAATTCGGAGAGTGTGGGTGAGTTTGTGAATACGACATGGACCAATCAATGGCAGACAGACAGACAATTGTTTATTTATGTCTCACTTCTGTACAACATATTAAACACATATATAGAACATAAATAAAAGTACGGAACCACACAATATGAGTTTTGAGAGACAATAGTTTCACAATCTTAAAACTTACAAGCATATATAAAATATAGTAAATGCATAAAACTGGTAACAATTCCTTCACTGTAATATGAAAAAGCAGGTTTTAGCAAAATAAGAACAAACTATCAGCACTTTGACACAACAAAAGTTTTCCAACATTTGTTAAAACATAAAAGTCCGCATCATAGGATTAACAAAATGAAACACGTTTTACTCTAATATCATTATATACATCTCAGTGAAACAGTACATGAAACTCGTCTTCGAGACAATCTGTACAATGAATGAATTGATTAAATAGCTGAACGTTAACGTCTTGGCAAATTAAAAGAAACCTAAGGTTCAGGGTTAAAAAGTTTAATAAGCCTATATTATCTCAGCTTGTTAGAAGCCCTTCGACCTTCTTCCTTATTTAACAAATATTGCCAATTCTAAATATATTCTTCCATAAATTTACTTTTTTACTTCTGTAGAAATAAATATTTAACTTGGGCTGTAGGATGGATTTAAAACATACGACATATTGGAATCAGACCTTCATTACCATACAATACTTTTCTGAGTGAAAGTGAGAATCAGGTCGGAGCTTTCTGAACAACATATTTTTCTGCATCTCGACAACCAGGTTGAAGGACGATGTCCAAATGGCGATAACGAAAAGGCCTCGCCAACTGATTATTTTGGATATCTAATTATTCCTGTCGTTTTGTGAGAGCTTCCGTTCTTGTTCTTTAAATGGAAATTTCCGTATTGAAGTGGTAAAGACGTGAAGCTGAATTCTTTTGGAAGGAAAACTATTGAGGCATTGTCAGATCTTCACAGATCTCCATACTCCATTCTTCCTGATAAGACGTGTACAGTACACTTTTCCACAATTCTAAGAGTATATGAAAAAAAGTATGAGTGGACAACCTAAAATCTGCAGATATATTAAGAAAATGGACACAACAGAATACCTGCCACGGTCCTGGACGCCAGCTTTGTCCCTTCTGTGTGTGCCTTAAACTGAAACACATTTTGTGATGAGGCTGTCCTGCCAACGATGACATCTTGTCTCAAGATGACAGAAATACTCTCACATAACTTAATCCTGTTCTACAGAGATTACACTGGCTTCCCATATCAGACAGAATCCAATACAAACTCAACCTTTTTTGTTTTCAAGTGTCTCAATAACCTCGCTCCAAGTATCTATCTGACCTGATCACCAGATATCAGCCCAACCGAAGTCTCCGATCTGAAAATCTTGGTCTTCTTGTTCCCCTACACGTTAGGTCCGGTACCAAGTTTGGGGATCGATCATTTCAGGTGGCAGGACCCACTCTCTGGAATCAACTTCCACTGGAGTTAAAGACAATTAACAACCTCAAGATTTTCAAATCCAATCTGAAGTCATACCTTTTTAAGAAAACATACAGTGTCTAACTTTTCATTCTCGAGTTGTTCGGAGAGGGCTACTGAGCAGTACTTCTTGACTAGAACTGGTGCTATCTAAATGGGTTTTTTTATGATGATGATGATGATGATGATGATGATGATGATGATGATGACATCAGATACAAACTTTAGAAACAAAACTCGATATAGACTGAGTTTTCAAACCTCAGCTCATCTGAAAAGTTGATATAGTTAATGAACAGAACACAGCAGCTGACGTCTCGTATATTTTGTATATCATAGAAAATAATCTTGGTAAACAAACTTGAATTTCCCTCTCGTATTGCTATCAAGTCAGTGTTTCTGTAAATAGCTGTTGGTCAACGTCACTGTGAAGATTATGATTACTTTGTGTCAATGTTTAAATAATGTTTGAGTAATAATGTATTATTTCATATGAAATTACCTTTTTATCTTGTTTGAAAGTATATGGATTAAGAACTGTATATGTTCAATTATTTCCCCACCCGTGAAGGTCCGGGTTGGAATTGGTCTTCAGCAACCCATGTTTGTCGTAAGAGGCGATTAACGAGATCACGTGGTCAGGCTTGCTGACTTGGTTGACACATGTCATCGTATCCCAGTTCCGGAGGTCCATGCTCATGCTGTTGATCACTGGATTCTCTGGTCCAGACTCGATTATGTACAGACCGCCGCCATATAGCTGGAGTAAAGCTGAGTGCGGCGTTAAACAACAAACAAAAAGGCAAACTCGCTCACCGTGAAATATATACTTACTCTCCAGGAGGAAACTCTCTTTACGTTCTCGGGTACAACAACTTCTATCCAGGCATCCAGGACGCCAGTATTTTGGACATTCCATCATACTGTCGGTTCTGATACCGTAAGTATATCGCCAATAAGAAGCATTTTGGCAGTACCGTGTGTGTGCAGTGCACCAATTTTTAACATGTCACTCAATAATATACAAACATTCACTCTGTTAAAAATGAAATAACAATGGTTCACTTGAAGACACAACAGTGAACACCACATACCCAAATTTCTGTAACTAACACAAATGTTATTACCAGTACTATACCCGTGAAGATCCGGGTCAGAATTGATCCTCAGCAACCCATGCTTGTCGCAAGAGGCGATTAACGAGATCGGGTGGTCAGGCTCGCTGCCTTGGTTAACGGACGTCATCGTATCCCAATTGCGTTGATTACTGCTTGTGTTGTTGATCACAGGCTTGTCTGGTCCAGACTCGATTAATTTGAGCCCGCTGCCATATATGTGAAATATTGCTGAGTGCAGCGTTAAACAAACAAACAAACAACAACCAAATACTAACTTTGCACTCAGTCGCACTATCAGAATCAAATACCTTCTTTTCATGCAGTGTTACAGTCAACATAACAACCACCCTATTCCTCAGTGACTCATTCAACATAAGACACACACTTTCCACTCAAAGACAAACATTTATGAATAAATTTAATGCATTATAATGTTATTTAAGACGAGTAGTTAGGTCCGGGACAATAATACATGGTATTACATCATGCTCATGAATGTGATACAATTTAACATAAAAAAACGCATTTGGCCGAAACTAGACCTTATCTGCAACTACACGAACTGAAAAGTAGTAGAATATGCCGTTCCCATATCACTGTGAACATGTTCCCTGCACAACTTCATGATGTAACAATAAAACCTATCACTCTGTCAGAACATCAAATACTACCTATTTGACACAGTCAACATGAAATACTAACATTTCACTCAGCGCCACAATCAACATTAAATCATATCTTTTCACCCAACAGCAAAACAGTGTCAAAACATCAAATAGTGACATTTCACTCAATGTCCAGCTTTTTCTTCAGAGGCACAGTATGAAATATTATCCATTTATTCAATGACATATTCAACTGCTAACATTATAATTACACTTAATGCCACAGTGAACTTCATGTGTTTTCATCGAATAGTACAACAGTAAAAAATTCAACAAATTTCACATCGTAGAACATTCAACTTTAAACTCTTTTCCACCCCATGACACGGCAGTGATATTGCCGAGTAATTGTGTTCTTTTACTTTATTCAGTCAGTTTTAACCTATGATTCTACGACATTCAACTTCCAATAACATCTTTGGACAAAGCACAGTCCGTCTGTAGCTACATGAACCTGTGTATGTTTCTGTTTCAGACCATTCCTGAAAAGAAACACCAGGATCCGTCGTACCCCAATCTCTGTGAATATGTTTCCTCTGAACAACTTCGTGATATAGCAATAAAAAAAAAATGAGAAGCGGTTCCTTATTTTGTATTTATGCTTATCGACAATGCTAAACGTCCCATATTCCGGACCAGACAATCCAGCGATCAACAGCATGAACATCGAACTCCGCAGTTGGGATACCATGAGATGTGTCAGCCACGTCAGCGAACCTGACCACCCAATCCCGTTAGTCGCCTCTTACGACAAGCATAAGTTACTGAAGACCAATTCTAGCCCGGATCTTCAAGGGTGCTATATAGAATTATAAATTTAACAGCTGCCTCTACTGCTTGAAAGTCGCAAACAGGGAGAACTCCAAGGAGGTCGTATTATCACATTACTAATTAGGGCTGCTCAAGGAAGTATTTAACTAAGGCAATAACCTGCACACTTTATTGTATGTTAAGTAAATCTTCAAGAGTGAGTGAGTAAGTTTAGCTTTACGCAATATAACGGCGGGGGACACCAGAAATGGGCTTCACACATTGTACCCATGTGGGGAATCGAACCCGGGTTTTCGACGTGACGAGCGAACACTTTAACCACTCTGCTACCCCACCGACCCTAAATCTTCAAGAACAATCAGTATGTGGGGAAATTACTTGAGCGGTTACATCAATGTCATTGTGCATTTTACACCATAGACACACTCTACATGTAAATATAGTCTGTACATGGAATTTGAAAAGAAATGTGTTATATTTGTTGCTGTTATTTAACCTCTTTGACATATATGTTCTGTACAAATATGTAAACACAAATGAAACCAACAGCGGTGGTACAGGAACAAATGTCCAATGTTACAGAATACATCAAGATGGCAGTTTCCATGTAAAGATTGAATAGTTTTTTAATACCTTCAAGAGAGTGCTCTAAATCTTGATTAACTGTTTTCATCATATATTTGGCAAAATAACAGTTCACAAAATTTGTGGAAATAGCAGAACTGACCCGAGTCAACAGAAAACAGTTTGCCAACGGTGTGAAAATAGTAGAACTTGACCCTAGTCAATCTGGGAAAATTGATGCATTTTACATCAATAAATACTTCCGGTAGTAAGCTGGTTCCCGGCTCCCTTTGTGCGCGCCACCTTGCGATATACAAGACGGGGACCAGCTTACTTCCGGTACCAGAACGCCAGTTACAAGCGTATATTCAAGAACCATTACGATGGCGGTCTGTAAATAATCGAGTCTGGATCAGATAATTCAGTGACTGACATCATAAGCTTCGATCTACGCAACTGGGATGCGATGACATGTGTCAACCAAGTCCGCGAGTCTGACCACCCGATGCCGTTAGTCGGCTCTTACAACAAGCATGGGTTGCTTAAGGCCCATTCTAACCCGAATCTTTACGGATAAAATGAGCTTGTTTTTTTAAGTCACTCAAAAATAAACAACAACAGAAATACAAGAGATGCTTGAAATAATTCAGCTTTTACACCCTTCCTTACATTGACACTAGATAAAGTTAATATTAAAAGAGGGAATCCTGGAAAAAACAACAGAAAACGTGAAACTGAAAGATGTAGTAAAATCTACCAATCATATGAATACACACATCTGCAAAAGCGTAAGAAGGAGCTGTAGAAAGTTAGAGTGAGTGAGTGAGTGAGTTGAGTTTTACGCCGCACTCAGCAATATTCTAGCTATATGGCGGCGGTCTGTAAATAATCGAGTCTGGAATAATCAATCCAGTGATCAACAACATGAGTCTCGATCAACGCAATTCGGAACCAATGACAAATGTCAACCAAGACAGCGAGCCTGACCACCCGATCCCGTTAGTCGCCTCTTACGACAAGCATGGGTGTAGAATTTGGGATATTTAGATATTTGGGATAACTTGAAATCCTTTTCTCGTGTAACCACTAAATGTAATCTCAATAAGCTAATACAAAACACCAAACTATGTAACATGTTCACACCTAAACTAACAATCCCTAAAACAGACGCACCACTCCCCTATAAAATAAATAAACCCCAACATTGTCGAAACCACTACACTGGCATACAGACAGGAACATTGGCAATCGACACTGGCAGGTCCTCTGGCCTGCGCTCAAAGTGAAGAAGAGAAGAAGAAACATATCTTCTTTGCGTTCCACAGGCTGTTCATGTCATAAAACCAATAAAATCTATATAAAACAAACATCCAGCCCTACAACATACATATCCTCCTTCTCTCTCTGTGCACACACACGCACTCACTCACACACACACACACACACACACACAGACACACTCACGCACGCACGCACGCACGCACACTAATGCATACACCCACGAATTCCTTCCCGCATGGATCTTCACCCCATACGGATTCACTCACTCAAGGACACGCTCGCGTGATCACCCCATGCAGATTCATTGACCGTATAATGCAGAAACTCAAATTTTAATAAGGTAATACTTAACATTGATAATATAGTTAATATATAAAATATTAGTACACACGTTACAATCTTGTGTAACGACGATGATGTAACATTTTACATACAATTGCGAGTGAAGAATTACAAAGCTTATCATTTTGCATTGAATAAATTAAAAGTGCACAGGCTTTGGCATCAACATATCACAATCTACTGGGCAATCCTACTAATGGAGTTTGAGGTTCCCAGACAAACAATCCGTTGTCTTAACGGCCAAACCTATGGTCACTGCAACTGTTTTGCGGGCTCCGAGCAATTAAAACAAAAAAAACAACAACAAGAACAAAAAACAACAACAGAAAAACAAAACAAAAAAAACCAAAAAAAACCCACCAAAGCAAAACAAAACAAAGAAACAAAAAACAAACACGCGCCCTAAACTAGTAAACCAAATAAAGAAAAGCACACAACATTTAAATAAAACCTTGGATCCATGCCCACGTCGGAGCTACCAACAATAAGCCTATATCTACTACTATATAACAGCTAGGTCAAAGGCCCCTCTTTACAGACATGTTTCCAACAGTGTGCAAGTAATTACCACAATACAAGTCCCGAACTAAAACAGGTATTCAAAACGCCATTTTAATACTAACAATTTACCATCGATCAAAGAAGAAAGAGTGGGCAATACCAAACCAACAAACATCCCCTACAAAACTGAGCTCCCACCAACAATGAAATGATAAAACACCAAACAGGTTAATGTACATGTACACACTGCAAACAAACAGAAACAGTAGAACATGCCCTATTACACTGCACGCACTACAAACAACACATGATATTTAAAAGCTCACTCGACTTCAGCACACACCAAGCAAAAAGAAAGCACCAATGAGCTCATTACACAACACACATTTGACGCCTCAGTCATCTAAGGGCAACATTTATTATTTGTGTATTTCTCGTCGCCCGACTGAACGTAATTTGGCCGCCGACCCGACAAAAAAAACACCTTTTTATTGCCATCGACTTGAACGCAAAACGTTTAGCCTACCGACTGATTCAATTGCTTCCTCTCTGTGTCGGTGCTGAGATGGTGGTTGCAGGTATAGGACAAGTGAACATTCACAAGAATGTTTAGCGCTAGGTATTAACATTCTTCTTTCTTTACATCCCCTTTATTAATACACTATCATACACAAATGAGTTGTCAACGCGTATATGTGTCGTCAGCCAGGGGAACTAGCTCTGAATTAAGACGTAGTGTTCGTTGACAAAGACGAAGGACAGGTTGAGTTCAAACCTCTTTAGTTACATGACAAACAAATACACAAGACAGTAATGAGCTGGGTTGTTGGCTCAGACATAAATGAAGTGAGCAAAGTTCCTGCTCAACGCCGGGGCGTTTCTTAGGAGGGCAGTATCCTGCTCGCGGTCGTCCCCACACAGACAATTGGAATACCGGACTGCAAGACAATGTAGATATGAACATATAGTTATCATCAACAATGGACAGACGAAGACTTAACAATGGACAGGTAAATAATCAATAGCACTTCCTTGCACCAGTTGATGTGATGGCAGACACGGCCAAGGTGGATGACCAATTAAGGCTAAACAGGTCATATACAGTAATAAATGATAGAGACAGAGCGGTATGCGTTGGCTGCAGATTAGCAACATATAAATAATTACAATTCAGTCCAAAGTGGCTTGGCTACATAGTGTTTAGTCTTTAGAAATATTTGGACGATAACAGTCCTGAATTAGTCGCAATGACAGAGTAAAGACACTTTTAATAATCGAGGTGACAAACTTTAAGTGAGGAACAGCTGATTCCATCTATTTTTATGTTCTCTGCTAATTGTGTTCTCTGCTGCGTTGACTTGCAGTGCATCTGTGTTAAGGATTCAAATTCAAATTTGACAACGAATGATATGATTGTATATATTTTTTTGTATTTCCCGAATACCATGTAAAATAGAAAAATAGTTTTTAAGGCCATTTTTTTCTCCTTTTCCAGAGGGAGATTTCCCATAGCCACCCATAAACAGGCAACATAAAGCAGAATCAAAGTTACAGATGTTTTTGTCTTCTTTTCATTTATTTTTTTAAAACCAATTGACCGACTGACCGATCTTTACATCACGGTGGCTACCTGAAATATATATCGTGTCCCAATTGCATAGATCAATGCTCATGATGTTAACCACTGGTTTGTCTGGTCCAGACTCGATTACTTACAGACTGCCGCCATATAGTTGAAATATTGCTGAGTGCAGCGTTAAACAACAAACCAACCAACCAGCCTGAAATATATAAATAAAAATGCTGAACTAAATGCGATTTACCTTCCATTCCGAAAAATAATTACACCCAAATTACAAACAATCTGAAAACCCAAACTCAAACAATCACTGAACCAATTTATACTACCTCCAACATCCTTTCTTCATCCATATCCCACCCCAACACCTGGTTCTAAGTTGAATCGTCCAACGTTCAAATTCCTCTTCTCACACCACCCCAATGAATTAATAGCTTGTGAAAGAGAAAAGTACTATGTCGGAAGGAGTACGTAAAATCTCCAAACGAAGCGAAAGCCAATCTTTATCTGTCT